ACACACACACACACACACACACACACACAAAAACCACTGCCTAACACTTTATTTTACTTTGTTACATATATTACACATATTTACTATAGTATTAACAGTAAATTGTGTAATTCCAAGAATAAAACAAACTCTAAACCTATAAAAAGCATTTGTTAATTAATATTACTCAGTACTTAAATGTAATTAAACTGTAACAAGGACACATTAAAATAAAGTGTCACCAGAAGCTGAAATCTGTTAGTTCTAATAAAAATCCCTGGGAGACTAAAATGCTTGAAGTTGAAGAGACACCCTTATATCTCTTTTCAACATCTAGCAATTTTAATAAGACAATGGTTTTATGAAGGTGTCATACAGTAGGTACTGTAATTATTTCAATATGAAGAAAGATATCTATTGTATCCACCCACGCTATTGCAAAATAAATTACCCTTTATTACCTTTTCCCCCACAAAACCTGACATTAGCAGAGGAAAGCAAAAGTATTTATTCATTTCTAAAAACAAATCATGTTTTTTACTCATTTGGGCCTTTGTTAACCTACAGCAGTATTTCAGTTCATGGTTTGTAGAGTATTATAGTACAGTACAGTAAGTTGCTTTTTATCTGGTATGGTTGGTCAGAGAAACTTACAAGTCAAAGATGAGGTAATGGTGACCTTCCTCTGAGATGCTGTCATGCAGCCGCACTGGTGAAGGATTGCCATTTGTGGTTTGGATGGAGAAGAAAAAAAGAGATAACATGATTATAAAGTCATTTTTGTTTCATTATTGTTTTCTGACGTTTACAGTCCATTGCCTTGCAAGTACTCACACTTTAACTCTTTCTGGGATTGTTCTTCCCAACAGATTTGCTACAAACTTTTTTCAAATAAGAGCACAGATTCACCTCTGAACTGAGAACAGAGCTTTAAGCTTTAAGCATTTGCCTGATTGGTAGGCACCTCAAGAGGCTCCTGGAAAAAACTTTGCAAAATAAATTTTATTAATTTAACTGATTATCAGATATGCACGGAAGCACATTTCCGCCACTGAATAAAAATAAAAAAGGTAACTGTGACTTTCTATCTAGTTGTTATTCTCCCACTACTTCTGCATTGCAATATATGGCAGTCCATTGAAATGTATGGTAAAAGGTTAGCACATTGATTAAGGAGGGTTTAAATATCAACTTGAGCAATTTTAGTGTCAAATGTGATGTTGATGTTGTTGATGCTACTGCAGCACATTGCCATTTTCCTTCTAGAGAATTCCTCAGATTGTCAACAGATTTGGCTCAAAACTGAAAATGGTGCAGACCATGCTGACCAAAAGCTATCAAAAGCTTTTCGATATACCAAACAGGAGTGTGTTTCCCAAAAGCATTGATAGCCAACTGGAAGTTCTGATATTACTAACCTAATTGAACAATTCTGTATTTCCTGTAACTGTTTGGCAAGACTTTGGCATATTGAAACTTGGTCATACCCAGAGGGCACCTGAGCCGTTAGAGGCTAGTAAAATGAAACCAGAAAAATGACTTATAATGTCTAAATAGTTTGGCCTAAAATAATACTACTAGTCACCAGATTGCTTTGTTCATTAATGCCAGCTATATTTATAATTAGCTTTATATAAACACAAGTTCACCTCATTTAGATAGCTAAGTAAACGTTTTGTGTTTGTGTGTGTGTGTGTGTGTGTGTGTGTGTGTGTGTGGTGAACTTACCAATATTGGAGTGCTTCAGCAGTCTGCAGATCCTAGCCTCCCTGTCCAGCTTCTGGTGATCTAGAATATATATAATAACAGATTTTTCACATATATTTTTGAATGTTTTCAACATTCAAAATAGAAAATACAAAACAGTACATGAGCAAACAGCTGTTTTTACTATGCTGTGAAAAACATAAAATATGCATCCCATGAAAATGGAGTTTCTTCATTCAAATCACCAAGTGCAGTATTTATTTTAATAATTTCACTAGGTGACACCACTTCAACATAGGCTACTACATAAGCCAAAATTCAAAGCCACTTGCATTAAAAGCTTTAAAATCCATTGCACAATATGTAAGACATTGGCTATTCCAACACATATGAACAACATCTTAGCATCTTAAATGCAGCACAGGTTTCTACATTATTGGCAACATTTCCTTGAATGGTATTTTTGTGTACCATATATCCCAGGTCGAAAAAAGTGCATGTCCATAATATACTTAAAGTGCTCTATTTTCGCGCCCTAATTTTGTACTTAATATACTAAAACTGATTATTTAGTACTTCTTAAGCTAAACTTAAGATCAACAAAGTGTACTCAGCTGTGCTATTTTGGGACACCATGAATATGAATTATATAAAGATACTATCTCTATATTTAAATTGTTTTTATTTAGTTACCACTTGTAGTACACTTGAACCCATCTTTCATACACTAGTACACTCAAGTGTACTACAAGTGGTGACTAAATACTTTTTTTTAATATATTCATGGTGTCCCAAAATAGCACAGTTCAGTGTTTTTCCATTGTGTGAATAAAATGTAATCATGTAATCCATAAAAAGTAACTGTAATCTGATTATAAGCATTTTAAAATGTAATACAATCCAGTTACAAGTACTTACTTTTTTGGTTACACTTTATTTTAAGGTGTCCTAGTAAGTACATGTAACGTGTAACAAGGACACCTTAAAATAAAGTGTTAGCACTTTTTAAATCTGATTATGTAATCGAGATTACATGTAATCAGTTATTACCCTGGGTTGATGAGAATTCACCCTCATTCAGCCATATTTTAAACAGTGTTGGGGGTAACGCATGACAAGTAACACGTGTTACATAATTAGATAACTTTTTCCCCAAGTAACTAGTAAAGCAACCCATTAATTTTACATTTTCAAGAAATTGTAAAGAGTTACTTTTTCAAATAAGTAACACAAGTTACTTTGTTTTCCCATTTATTGACTGACAGCTCTTCACATGTTGAGAGAAACTGGAAGTGAAGTGCAGAGGCAGAGGCTCTTCTTTTAGCCCGAGGCTTATTAATTTAACTTTTGGTGTGAAATGGCCTTTTCAGTTGCCAAAAATATATATTTTTTTGTTATTAAAAATAAATAATCAAGCCCAGCTCAGGTGAGAAAAGTAATGCAAAAGTAACGTAATGCATTACTTTCCACAAAAAGTAACTAAGTAACACAATTAGTTACTTTTTTATGGGGTAACGCAATATTGTAATGCGTTACGTTTAAAAGTTACTTTGGTTACACTTTATTTCGATAGTCCACTTTAGACATTCTACTAACTATAAGTAACTTTGTAACTACATGTCAACTACATGTCAACTAATTCTCATTAATTTGCAACTACATGTCTACTAACTCTCAGAGTAGACTTAGGGTAGGTTTAGGGTTAGTAGAATAAGTTGACAAAGAAAGTGTTAGAAGATATTAAGCAGACAGTCTACTAATACTCTACTAACTGCTAGTTGACATGTAGTTGCAAAGTTACTTAATGTTAATAGAATGTCTAAAGTGGACTATCGAAATAAAGTGTTACCGTTACTTTCCCCAACACTGATTTTAAATATTTGTAATATAGGCCAACAGCAGCTTCTCAGCATATACCCAATATTTGGAAAACACCCCAAGAGAAAACAGTGGATTCCCGTGAAATTAACTGTGCTTTTCAAAAATACTACTCATATTTATACACATTATAATTCCCTCAAGATGATTTACCTATGCAGAAATGTTTGCTAAAGGTAAATATGCTCAGCATTAAGCAAGATAAAAGGAGGAACCTAGAAAAATCTCCACAATCTCAAGAAATGGTGGAATCAATTAAAGCTACATGCAGTATAATAAGGCCCCAGAGTCAGATGGTTTCTGTGTCGAGTTCTACAAAACGTTCTCCTCACAATTGACCTCACTGCTTATTAGCATGTTTAATTATTTTTATGAATAATCTGAATTACAATCAAGCCTCACAGATGCTCTCATTACAGTTTTCCTAAAGCCAGGCAAAGATGAACTAAATTGTAACTCCTAAAACCTATTTCTCAATTAAATGTCCAAAATATTATCTAAAATATCCCAAATACAATATATAATAGAATTTTATTTTGGTTTGGCACAAAATGTTAATCCCTGGATATGTCCACTGTATTTTTCATTTTCATTAATATTTCATGCTAGTTCAGGAATGTGCCAAATACCTGAGGCAGCATCAGAACAGTGCTGCACCAGTTAGCTTTTCTTTTGTCGGAAGGACTTACTGTAGTATTTTATTTAACTTGAAATCTGCAGTGTTTTGGCTGTGGTATCACTGGTGTGTGCCAGCCTGTAGGGAGTCTGTGCAGCGCATATGGCTGTGCGTTCTCCTTTAACTGGCTCTGTTTTTAGAGCTCTGTGCTCACCAAATTGCATTTAACAAGCTCCACTGTGGATGCTGTGGCTCAGCTTAGTAAGTTGTTCACATTTTGTTCACAGATGACATAAACTTGGAATGTGTACAAACGTCCTTTGTATGTTGTGTTCACTTGAATTTGGCCAAGCAATCTAAATGACTACCAGGACTAGACACAATGTCACATTTAACCACTCAAACTCTCAGAATTTAACAGGCTGAATGATTTTTCAAATGGTATTTAGCACCAGTATACAGTATTGTTACATCAATATAAAATTCTACAGTCCATTGTTTATCGCCACTTTCTCTCCCATTGGCAGACTATTTGTGAAGGCTTGTTGGAACTATGGATTCAGAAAGCACCGAATCATAAAACTATGTTGGTAATGTCAAAACATAGTTGGCTAACACTTTTGGGAAACACACCGCTGAATAATTTGGGTGAATATGAGATCGGATATTACCCCTGGACCAGGTGACCTTCCCTGGCACTGACAGAATTTTCAGGCAATCCGTGTTTTAACTGTTATACGATAGGGGGCGCTATTACATATCTTCTGAAATAGTAAAGAATCTCTGGATCCAAAAACAAGCAAAGAAGACAGAAACAAGAGATTGTGCATATGTCAGCTACCGTGATCATCAAACATTAAATAACATAAATCATAACTGAATGAAACATTGATCCAGGAAACATTGATCCTATTATACCAATAGGACTGTGAAGCTTTGGGAGTGTTGATGGATTCGATCTACTCTGTATATGTTTTGATCATCATCCTGAATCTGATCTGGATTTGATTGATTTTTTTTTTTTTATTAAATTAAAAACAGCATAGTATTTTATTAAGCATTACTTAACAACATTTTAGATCATGTCTTGTCCTAAATGCCCAGTTAAGTAAAAAGTGACTGGAGCAAGGAAAAATGCCCTCTTTTAAGATTGTCTACACTGGACATATCAAAGTGAATGATTCAAAAAATATCAGCTTTATGATAAATCTTACCACTTTTATTTGTCCTGTTGTTGAAAGTAGAGTAAGTGTGTAGTATATGTCATAAATAGAATGGGGGTATCTGTTTACTGTCAACAACTTGCTGCGATATAATCAGTGCAGACGGTGTCTTTTGATTACAATGGGCTCTATTTGATTTTGACATGATGTGACAGTAGACGGAGCGTTATAATAGTTAGAATCCATGCCAGCATATACTTTTGACTCCATTCTGTTGCCTATAATAGTGTTGCCACTTTTTAAATAGTTCTCAGTCATCTGAAAATAAAGCAGCAATTTATCTATAACCTCTCAACATTATATGATCAGATAAATGCAACTTTTACATTTTCACTGATCCTTCGGTCAGACAGGAAGTTAACATAAATAAATAACAGAATAACCTACAAGTACAAAAATCTACTAACTATAAGTAACTGCATCTCACTCTCATTAGAGTACTAGTAGACTGTTGGGTTAGGGTTAGTAGAATAAGTTGACCTGTACTTGTCAAGGTACTTATAGTCAGTAGAATGTGTGTTGGGGACATAGACTGTATAAAAACATGGACGTAGTGTCCGTGACGTCACCCGTAGATTTCCGAAGAGCGTTTTTGAAGCTAAAAAGTGGGTGGAGACGGCCGTCGCCATCTTGGCAGAGCGTCACCGCGCATCACTCACGGATAATCGAAAATGGGCAAAGAGGCGGGAGCAGGTTGCTGAAGCCACGCCCACCTAGCTAGCCGGTGGTGACAGCAGCGGCAATCCACCTGTCACTCAAGTGGCCACGCCCTTAATTATGCAGAACTTTAAGGCTTAATATAATTTAAACGGACGAGTTGAAATGAAGGGCAAAATTTGCTATATAGACCAAAATAATTTTTTGAACCATGTTGTAAACGTGTTTTTTTCTGCTGTAAAGTTGGCCATTTTAACATGGGGAGTCTATGGGATTGACTCCCTTTTGCAGCCAGCCTCTAGCGGCCAGTTGATGAATTACAGTTTAAGTCACTTCCTTGTTGGCTTCACGAGAGAGAGGGGGAGGTTGCCGCTTGGTTGGGGACCATCAAAATACAATGTGAGCAGATCAGTCTACTGATATTCTAATGACTGCTAGTTGACATGCAGTGGCAAAGTTACCTGTAGATAGAAGAGTATCTAAAGTGGACTATCAAAATAAAGTGTTACTTAAAAATCTTAAAGACTTGTTTGCCAAATGTTGTACAGTCTCATCATACCATTACAATAGGCTGTCTTAAATCCATCCATTATCTGAGCCGCTTGTCCTATGTAGGGTTGTGGGGATGCTGCTATCTTGGGCCAAATGTAATAACACCCTTAATTGATTGATCAGTCCATCACAGGGATATAACAAACACACTCACA